TTTCTGCGCCATACGGGAATTATATGAGACTTATAGTGCCTAATTTTTGTTGCCTTTTTCGACCCATTCCATGCGCCGTCAAACCGATACTTCAAGTTCTATTTGGCTAACATTTCGACACTAACCATCTTCAAGAATATGCCATCCGACAGTAAGCCTTCGGATAGTGTCGCTATCGCAGTTCTCGCCCTCGGATATAAATGCGAGTATAGAACTTTTCTTGGAGACATGTAGGCAATTTAGACACTCTCCTCACTTTTTGAACTTCCGAAATGTTAATTAAACCTTAATGATACTTCTATTAGTCAATTGTGATTTCATATATGGTCTWTGTCCATTAAACTACATTATTAATATTAGATATCTCTCGTAATTGACCTATATCACTCAAGCGGTATGATGGAACATATAATTTTTTGGAATTTTTTCTCTATCTAATGTTAAATTATACTTAAATGAAATTCGAAATAACATCGCATGACGATTAGGCGTTATTTAGACCCGATTTTACCTTTATTTGAATCCTAGTTGGTTCGTGTCACGAATATGTGTTGGGTCAAATTTTTTTTGGAGTAGAAAATTGTAACTGTTATGGGATGGAATTAGATTCAGAGTTCTATCTGTAAGTTGATCCAAGTTTGCATGTTTCTGACAGTACTTTCAAAATATTTTTGAACATGCCGTTATGCTCAAATTGGGCTACGATAAGAATGTTGTCGCGCCCACTTTTCCAAAACATGTAAGATTTTTGTAGCTATGGTCGACAGTTTTTCCAATTTGCTCATCTTTTATTTCTCTTCATACTTCCCTTCCCTCTCTCTGCAATAAAAATAATGCTTCATCTACAACTTCACAGCAAACTTGCCAGGCTTTCAGTGCTTTCACTGAAATAATGAAAAGCTAACTCAATTGCTAACTTATGGAGAAAAACCGAGAAAAATTGGTTTAATTGATGTTGCTGCTGTGGCTTCACATTTAGTTTTCGTTTTCACCATTTTACTTTTGCTCCAATTAGTTCAATATGAAAGAGACCAAACCAAAAGGTATTGAATGGTTTCGTCTAGTAAATATACTAACAGAAAGCAAATGTACAGTTAAAATGCAGGTGACAGAGATTTAAAGCAATACTTGGAAGCCAGTACGATTCCGACTAAATATTCATTTGTAAAAGTATACTTTGCAAAGCGAAAGCTCATAATGGCAACTGAGTGTGCACTCTCCATTGCAGATTAAGGGGAATATCATGCAAGCTTATTTATAAGATGAATGTTCAGGTGATTTGTGGAGATTAATGCTGTGAATTTATATGGCGTAATGTATATTTGTAACAGAATAAGATTTAATAGTGTTTAGTTGTACTCAAAAGCGGCGAAATTATATTGAAACAAGGTATTGGAAAGTCATAGAAAAACTCTAAGAATTTTGGAAAATGTAACAGTAGGGCTTAAAAGAATAGTGGCATAGGTCTACTGATCCTAACCCAACAACTCAAAGAAAAACCTGATATTTTGTCATCCTTCGCTGTCTAATATTTTCCAAGTTGGTGCATTGTTAGTCGTGAAGGATTCCCGAGCTAGCCGACTGAAGCCTGGGTGTTCGCAAAGACAATGCTTCAGGGTGTCATCATCTTCCGCGCATGTTCTGCATTCCGATGAATCCAATTTTCTAATTTATTGAAGGTGGAATCATAACCCAAAGTTATTTTGTGCTCTGCTCTGTGTCGCTAGAATTTCAAGACCTAGATATTCCTCTAGAGTCCATTGATTCAAACAATGCTTGAAGCAGCTGAATGGTCTGGGGCAGCTTAGGAGAATTGTGTTCCTAGCTTCTATCGAGCGGACCTACTTGTCAGTATTTTCGTTGCCTTACATTCCTATAAGCCTACAGATGGTCTGCTTATTTTTATTTTTCTTGCGTAACCTAACGCTATAGATTCCAAGTGTTTATGGCTTGACCTCATCAGCATCTGCAGATGGCGTCTGGTAGAATTTTCAATCTTACTGCGTGGACGCCAATAGAGCCATGGTCCGTTTAAAGCCCCAAAACTAAGGAGAACTTGCCTTACTGAGCGCCAAGAGATCACTAGATCTCTTGCGACCGATCTGGGGATAAAAGGCTTTTGTGTTAGCGCATGAACCGTGTGGGCTCAGTGCTGACCAAGCTCCCATAAAGCCCAGCTATCTAGTAGTAGAACACAAGAAGTTACAGGAACACCGAGCCGCTCCAYTTCTACCGATAACGGTTCTAAGGTGCGGTATGTATGCAGAGATTCACCACAAATCTCCGTTGTCGCATTCCAGCTTTGCCGTCACCATATCAGCGTTGTTAAATAAATACCGTTAATTCTTTTCGGAGAATCTTACAGGCTCTTCTTAGTCGCCAGCAGTTTATGACTTCAGTCCAGATATGCCGTTACTCGTGAGCCACGGTTCCTGGGTCAGGACGACGTCGGCTTCGTCTTGTTTTAGACGATGCAGTAAATTGGAGGAGGCCAATTTAGCATTTCGGAGGTTAATTTGGAGGAGTCTCATCCTTCAGTCTCTCCTCCAGAAACGTTAGGTCAGCGTCCACGTCGTGCTCGATCCCCACTTCCTGAAACAGATGTTCCATACTAAGGACGGAGTTGCCAATTGACGAACAGCCCCCAGAACTCGCTATGCCCAACAGACTCGGGTCTCCTCGTTCTCATTTGTAACTCCGAGTGATTTAGTAGGACATGTTTTACCAAAATTTCGCACCAGCAAAGACACCCTCCATACACTAGAGATGATTCTGATTGTTCATCACTTCCAATCTGTGTGGTCCAGTTGACCAAAGCCAGCTGCTTCGAGACTGGATTGCTTCCTTCATACATTGGAGTTGTTGAGAATGCAAGCCAGAATAAAGATTTTGACAGTAGAGAACTATAAGGAAATAAATGATTCTGTCAATCCCACCAAGCATATAGCAAATCATTCCTGACCGAGAATACTGGCTTGGTACCGTTAATGCTGGCTCACTGCATCACCCTTTCGCTTTCCGCTTCAAAATTGGAACAACTTTGGTATCTTTCAGTGACAATTCGCTGATATCTCTTATCGAACTTTTTGTTAATTGGAGGTAGACGATGCCTCCATAGGAGAAATTAGATCTCAAACGTGTCTATTCCCACTTCCAGAGGATCATATCATCAACCTATTGATAAGGTTGACTTATCCTTGATAGAAAGTAGAGAGTAAAGAAGGCATATATTCTTAAAGCCATTCTACAAATAGCACCGGTGGATATTATCGACAGGTGCATTGCTGCAAAGTGCGCTCTAAGGCTCAGAGAAGCTGGGTTTATGATGAGTCTCAAACAAGAACACGTCGAAATTATCTCCTTTTTCTGGGATTCTTTAGGACTTGTAGAGACCACTCGTGGCGGCACATTTCTGTTCACGTATCGAGGAATGTATGGCCGTGGAGAAGTCTCTGGAGTAGAGGCGCAGATGCTTTTTCGCGAATGGGTCGATAGTAGGTGGAGACGTTTTCTGTAAGCAGCTCACCGTCAATCTTAGCTCCAGGCTACCGGAACACTGTAGGGTTTTTCTGGCAGAAGTGGTTGCTATTAAGCTATCAATAGACGTATTGCTACTAAGTGTAGCCTAAGGGAAGCTGGCTATATGGAGGAATTCAAACAAGAACACGCCAAAATTCCATGGTTTTTTTTGTTTTTTCTGCGTCGCAGAGACCACTCGTGACGGGATATTACTGCTCATAAACCGACGGATATATAGTTTGGAGTGAATGGATGCAAACTAGGAGGAGAATTTTTCTGTAAGCAGCTCACCGTCAATCTTAGCTCCAGGCTACCGGAACACTGCAGGGTTTTTTTTTGGCAGAAGTGGCTGTTATTAAGTTGTCAATAGACATATTGCTACTAAWTGTAGCCCCATTCAACGAGGTCAGCCATACACGCCAACCGCAGAACGGCAATAACAGTGCTCAGATCTTAAAGCCAATCTGTGCTCACTGGAAATAGCAACAAACCATTTCGTCATTAGACTCGTTTCGGTGCCAGCTAGGCCATAACTTGTGGAATCGGTGGCAACTGCAAAGCCAATGAGGTAGCCAGCGGAGATACCCTTTCGATCCGTACAGAATGCGACCAAGTTGGATCTTCATTGATATCTTACATTCTAGCTAATATATCTCGCGAAGCAGACGCCTTCCTTGTTTAAGGATTGTTTTTCAAAATATTACAGAAAATTTCAAACCAAGCGCAAATTCACAATAAAAATTTCGACAAAATTTTAATATTACATTTTTCACCGTTACAAATGTACCGTTTACCTAAATACTCGCAATCATATACACGCATAAATCTGCAAATATCCAATCTCTCCATTTTCCATTAATCTTAAACCACASAAATCCCGAATGATTTATGCTTGCGAATAGCAGCGATAAAGGTGTGGAGCTACAAAAACAAAAAATGTCATTTAAATTATGCACATACCACAAGTACATAACTACTGTGCCACAAATGCTGCAAACACACACACACACACACACACACACAAATGTGCGCTTGTAAACAACAACCGGTGAAATATCTATAAATGCTGGTGAATAAACAAAAGAAAATTTGCAAAAAACCAAAACAAACAAGCAAATTCACTGATAACTAAACCATCAAGGCGTGCCAAATGTGTGAATGTATGTATGTATGCGTGTGTGWATGYGTTGCRAGTAGCTGCCAGAGGCGCACAATTTCAGTTTRTGTATAATTGCTGTCTGCTGAGAGCCTGTGTGAATACACTGTGTTGCGGAAGTGTGTAGAYACATAAATATTTAAGTTGGCCTCCAAGTGCATAACGGCAGATTGTCATAAAATATCTGTATATACACATATATAGCTGTAAGAACCAAGTTGGTTTTAAATCACGGCTGCAACTTCTGCCCGCTGCCAATTTTCACAAATATCTTACTCAACTTCTTCTTCTCTTTCTCTCTTTTTGCTTTCATTTACTATGTCAGGGCTGTGTTGCCGTGTTGAGCTTAACATGGATCATCAGTTTGACGGTGTTTGGTTTTCTAGTGCTGCCTAAAGGTAAGTGATAAGTAAAACAACAACAAAAAAACAACAAATTTAAATTTCATTTTGACTGTTGCTTAATGACTTTTGCGATAAGTTCAAAACGCTTGTCTTGGTTTGTAGCATCAATAAACTATTGTAACTCARCTTAGTAGAAGAACCCAGAAAACTTTCAAATTGCACTTAAATCTTCAATATTGGTAAAAAAGGAAGCATTTTGTTTACAATGAAGAAAGATTGTAGAGCTGTAGACACAGCACCCGCTCTCAGCTAAATGTGCATGGCTTGAGTAATTACTGAAAATCGAGTTGTGAAAAATGCTSMRAGSTTRTAGCATTGMCTCGAACCACTATTTTGTTGCAGCRAAGATACACACCCGCCTCWGTGCAGCAAAAAACGCACGTTAATAAATACAGGGAAGGTTCGACGTCAGGGAGCAACAGACTTGCACGCTTGCTCTCTGAGAGCACTCATCAGCAACTCGGTACAACTGGTTTTCGGAGAAGGCAAAAGAACAGCGAGTGTGATGAGGGGTGCCGTGTCGCAGCGGTGAGAAAACATCTACCTCGCAACGTTACAATCTACCACAACACGTGAGGGATGGGATAGATACCGAGAGACGCATTTGCAGACAAAAAAAGAGAGAGCTCGAAATGCGTGAGTACGAAAAGCTTGACAAGCTGACAGATAGAGGATAAGCTCGAAAATTCGAAAAATGAATCGAATATGGYGACTAACAGCAGGTTTCCGGGCACTTGTAGAATACCCAGAAGTGATCCAATGACTGATGACCAGAGCATACTAAAATTTTGGCGAGAACAATTCTCCAGTCCGCATAATGGCAGTGTAAGCACAACATCGGAAGATGTTGAATCCATTTCCCAAATCGAAAACCATGAAGAAGACGTTCCACTGCCCGAACATGAAAAATGTTGAGTGACAATTGCCCCCCTGAAGAACAACAAAGCGGTAGGGCCGATAGATTGGTCGGATGAAATCATGCTCGATGATTGGAGTTTAAATGTGCTCTGCCCAATCTAGACTCAAAAGTCCTCAACAACCGTGAGATAAATCTCCTCAATATCGCATATGAGGTTCTATCGAGTGTATTGTGTGAAAGACTATAGCCCTCCGTCAACAGAGTCAGTGTGACAACTGAGCAGGTATATTTACCATGCGCCAAGTCTTCGAAAATACCCGTGAAAAAAGGATCGACACATACCAACTCTTCGTCGTTTCTAAAGCTGCTTTTGACAGCACACAAATGAGCTGCCTTTATGCCGCGATGTCTGAACATTAAAGCTCAACGTCAACGTAGTTTTGCGGAGGAACTTCGCCAGGATCGAAAAGTCCTCGATCTGGTATTGAGTGAGTAGAAGAAGAAGGGTCTGGTATTGGACGAGGTCTGCTCTAACGAGAATTCTCGACCTGATTTTCAGTCCAACCTCAGTATAATATGGTCCTAAGCTCGATTATATTCGTTATGTTTACCTCAAGAACAGATATGATGTTTGCATTAGGTAAGACTGGAACATGCTTCTTGGAAGAGGAAGAGAGAGATAGAGCATAAAAGCTGATATTTACTCAAAGAAAACCATACATTATCTTTATTAATTTTCATTTTTTTGTTTTATCAAATGGAGTACCGACTTTTCCACCTTACAAAACAAAGTTCTAAAAGCTTGGAAAAATTAAGAGAGAGAGAGAGAGATGGCTGGTAAATGAATGAATGAATTTTCAACAAATAAAATTCGAAACTCGATTCATTAAATGCTATCAAATGAATTTCCTCTAATGCACTTCGGGTATCTATAAAATACTCATTTATCCTAACGTCACTCCTATAATAGGCTTAAATGCGCTCAAAGTTGTCACTTTTTTATTTTGAACCAGAGCTGAGCTTAAGCCTGACAAGCCATTTACATAGATTTCCGATTAATTTGTTCACTTTCTTTCCAGGCTATTACTTCAACAACACCGGCCTGATGGCCTGCGAACCATTCTACAGTAAGCCATCATATCGTATACTGTCCACCTGCGCACTCTACTTCCCCACAACCATGGTGCTAATGTACTGTTACGGTTCGAGTTTTCATTTGAGCCGTTTCCGTTTGAACGATCCAACCATGCCACTAACAGCTGCGGTCCATCATCCGCATCTCGGACATCCGCCGCATATGTACCAACAAGCGTTGCATGCTCATCACATGCAGCATGGYGGCATGGCGGGTGGTGGTATGAGTCATCATGGACTGCCGCCGGGCACCACAACGCTACCGAATACGCCCGTAATGAATCTCAGCATGGCCATGAGCATGGGTTTGGGTATGGGCGGCATGAGTGGTATGACCGGTATGGGCGGCATGGGTGGCATGCATTATGGAGGCGGCGGCATTGGCGTTGGTGGTGGTCCTGGTGCTACTGCTTCGCTTATGAGTGGCGGTAATGGCGGCAGCGCTGCTGGAGGCGCTGGCGCTGGTGCTGGTGCAGGTGGTGGTGGTGKTCCAACGAATAATGTGACAAAGAAGGTAAGTGCAAATGTCGGCGTTGAATCGGTTAAACGAAATGTGGCATGTGGCGTTAGATTGTTAGTTAATAGCARAGAGAAAGAGTGTTGCGGTGGAAGTCCGTTCGCTAGTCGGTTATCTGACCGCAATTAAAACGTGCGTTCAAAGCGCAAAGCCGTACAACACAGTGGTCACATGAAGTTCCGTTGTTTCRTTTTGCATTTGTATGCGTCTTGTTAAGCTCGTTGATGATAGTCGTTGTTGTTGTTAGTCAAGCACTCATTTAATTTGGTGCTCACGCGTTTACAACATAAATTGTGGCTACCATTTTCCATGGCAGGGGCAGTTGCAGTTAAGCGCGCCTGAGCTTTTGGAATTTGGGTGAAGGACGCACATCCGGATCTGGTTCGTTAACAAACATTTTCACTTGCTAATTGAATGCCCAAAATATCCAAAAACATTCACACCCTCTAACTGCATACTTTGTACTTACGACTTACTACTTTCTAATGACCTGCATTGGCCGTGGTCGCCCAGCTAATTTAGTGAGCTCACTTTACTCGCCACATACACAACTCTATTAATTTTCTACCACTCACCAGTTAGTAATTGAAATATAATCTGCTTATTCTTCGCTTCGTATCCTCATTCTAGATTGTGCCCATCCAGGAGAAACACTCTGCCGGCAATACGTCACGTTCTATGGCTGCCATTTCGTTGGGTTTCATTGTTATGATTACACCGTGGACGATACAGGAGATTGTCACTGCCTGCACGGGCTCYAAGGTAAGAGCTTAAACTTATAGAAATGGCAACCTTTTAGTTAAAGACAACGATATAATCAAGCACAAGTATATTTCACTACAAAGACTATTTGTCAAAGTAGCTACCAACTGTAGACGTCAGCTTCAGAACCTTGGATTTCTTATCTCAACTCAAGCTAGTTTATGTATAGCCAAAAAAAGTGTCTTACGTTTCACAAATATTGCTTTGTCTTAAGCCTGAGTGGAAGTCTAAATTTTCGTTAGGATAATTTCATTCAGAAAGCTTTCAAACAGCTTGTAAAAAGCATTCTAATATTAAGTTAAAATAAAGCACACATTTTACTAACAAGATAGTGATTTTACTGTTCTTCTACACAAAATTAATCTCAAATTTCGAATGTCTTCAAAGTTTTGAAGCTTTCATGTGTCAGTTTTCACGCCGCCAAGTAAGCTATGAATGCTTCAGTGCTTCACGTTAAAATATTTTTTTTTACTAATAATAAGTCTGAATTTTTGAATGTCCAGCTCAATCTAGGTACCTATTTGCAATTCRTAACTTTCACACAGAAAGCTGTCACGCCGGCAAACAAAGCTCTGAAAGCTTCAGTGGACTTCAAGCATTATTTACAATAACTGAATCAAAAATATATTTGTTTACAAATAATAAGTCTAAATATTCRAATAGGAAAGCTTTTCGATCAACAGTACAAAGCTTTCAAAGCTTCACAGGAATTCAAGAATTTTTTGAAAATAACAACCGTAGAAAACTTTCAACATTTTCGTTTGGCTAACTCAATCAAGGCACGTATAAGCATTTTTAGCTTTCGCACAGAAAGCCTTCACATCCACAATACAAAGCTTTCAAAGCTGGAGCGAACCCTTCGTATGAGCCCTTTTTATTTTATTTTTTTTTTGTAATTTTTAAAACAAAACGTTTCTAAATCGACAGTGCAAAGCTTTCACAGCTTGAGCGAAGTCCATAGTATCAGCTTCTTCCTCAGAACAAAATGCTTTCACATCAACCCTACAAAGCTTTCAAAGCTTGAGCGAAGTACATGATATGAGCCTTTTGAAGCTTACAGAACAAAACGCTTTCACATCGACAGGGCAAAGCTTTCAAAGCCTGTGCGTAATTTATTATTTAAATTCGTTAACTCAGTGATGAATAAAGCGTGCCAAATTATGTGCTTTCACTCACCTATAACGAAGRCAACTTGAAAACTTTAATCGCTACGTTCTTCACATTTCCTTAAAATTTAATATACTTATTCTATACTCTTTTAAATCCGCTTTTGTTTTCGACTCACACAACTCTCCTGCTTGTGGCTTTATTGTAMAAAAAATTTTCTGTCTCTCAAACACAGCTGCCGCCTTTTCTGGATTTTGTGGTAACTTGGATTGCCTTAAGCAACAGTCTGTGGAATCCATTCATGTATTGGCTGCTCAATTCGGATTTTCGACGGCTGAGTAAACACTTAATGCCAAATAGGGTAAGCAAGAAAGTACTTTGATTGATATACGTATTTTGTTGTTTCTAGACATACATAAGTTATTTATACTATACTTAACAATATTTTTGTATGTATGTGTATATGAATGTATGTATATCCAAATACCAGCACGAGGACCCCATAAGATGTTCTTATCRGATATAAGCCTCAGTTTGGTGCCTAAGAAACGGTCCCTAATCTTAGCCACTCTTTCATTTGGCTCATAAGGGTTTTCGAAGATACAAACTCTAGATGGGGGCCGGCTGGATTGTCGAGCAYATATTTTCATACCAGAGTTGACAATGTGACGTCGATCTCCACCCATCTCTCTTCTATGGTGCTCGGTGAGGACGAGTTCCTGTCAATGACAGCCACTTATAAGCTGTATCGTTGCWGTCGTATAGCTCCAGTGCTATCGATCGCATTGTGTCATACTATATGTACGCCGCTGGAAAGGTTAGATTTTTAGCTTGATTTAAGCAAAATTAAATTAAATTCGAAGAAGTTGAAAAAAGGTTACAGCTGTTCAAAATTGTGTGAAAATAATAAAGAAATTAGCGATATTTTGAAATGTTTGTTTAAAAAGCCACCAATGAAATTTGTGAAGTTTACGGATACGATGCTGTATCAGTTCGTGTAGCACAACAATGGTTCGCTCGCTTCCGTTCTGGAAATTTCGATGAGAAAGATGCACCTCGCTCTGGTCGACCTATCGTTGAAAAAGTCAATTAAATTATAAAAAAGATTGACCAGAACCGTCTCATAAGTAGCCATGACATCGCTAAGGAACGTCACATTCATTATCAAACGGTTTTGAACCATTTAAAAAAAGCTGGCTACAAAAAGGAGTTCGATGTTTGGGTACCACATGAATTGGCTATGAAAAATTTAATGGATCGAATTAACATCAGCGTTTCTTTGGTGAAACGAAATGAAATCGAAACATTTCTGAAGCGAATGGTAACAAGAGACGAGAAGTGGATCAAATATCACAATGGTGAGTGAAAAAGATCCTGGTCCAAGCGTTATGAAACTCAACAAATGGTCGCAAAGCCAGGATTGATTCCTTGATTGTTTGGTGGCATTGCAAACGAATCATCCACTTTGAGCTGCTCCAGCCTGGTCGAACGATTAACTCTACATTTTACTGTCAACAACGGATGAGATTGAAGCAAGCAATCGAAAAAGACGGCCAGAATTGATCAACAGAGAGGTCTTCAACTTCCATCACGACAACGCTAGACCACACACATCTTTGATGACTCGGAAAAAACTGGGTGGCCTAGGCTGGGAAGTTTTAATGCATCCTCTATATAGCCCTGATCTTGCACCGTCGGACTACCATTTGTTTCGGTTAATGCAGAACTTCCTTAATGAAGTAAAGTTGGCCTTGGTTGGTTGAAAATAACTTTTCGCAGTTTTTCGCCGAAATCAAATACTTGTACGGAAAATGTTTCGATTTAATGTGATATCTTCACGAAATTCCCCATGGATCGTTATTAAAGACAATGCCATAATGCTAATATAAAATAATATGGAATGGAGCACTATAGCATATAGCTGTCATACAAACTGAACGATCGGAATTAAGTGCTTATTTCGAAACTTTTTAATTTGACGAGATATCTTCGAGAAATTTGGCATGTCTTATCATCTAACACAATGCTACAACCTTACTGATATATTATTGGTATAGGTCCACTACAGCTTATAGTTGTCATATAAACCGACTAATCATAATCAACGCTTTGTATGAAGAACTTTTTAATTTAAAGAGATATCTTCATGAAATTTGGCAAGAGTTATTGTCGRAAGTAATGTGGCAATATCTGAAGAAATTATTCAAATCGGACTACCATAGCTTATAGCTGTCACACAAACTGAACAATCGAAATTAAATGTTTGTAAAATAGAATATATGTAATATAAAACCTTTTTATTTAAAGAGATATCCTTATGAATTTCGGCATAGTTGATTGTGTGTAGGGATGGTACAATATACTTAGAAATTCTTTAGATCAGAAAATAATAACATATAGCTGCCGCTGAAAATAATAACTGACCAGTAAAAATCAAGTCCATGCATGAAAAACTTTTTTATTTAACAATATGTATATCTTCACGATGCTCAACGAAAATTAATTTCCTGAACAATGCTTTAAACTTTATAGAAAATGTTTAAATCGGACAACTATAGCATATAGCTGCCATATAAACCAAGCGATCAAAATCAAGTTCTTTGTATGTAAACTATTTACATTTAAATAAAAACAGTTTGACCACCAGACTCTTCAAGACAATGTTGTTTTGTATTCCGAAAGCAACCTAATAAGCTTGTAACAGATTCAATTTGATTTTTCTTTTATTGCTTTCAAACTTACTGCGCTCTAAATGCCATTCAAGCATACTCTGCCGAGCAATAATTCGTTAAATGTGGTTAAATGTTCCAAATTGCGTACATTCATCAATTATATGTCAAAGGCTATCATATGAAAGGCAGAGATACCGTAAAATAATGCTAATTAATAGTAAATAATACCATTGAATTGCACAAAACTGCACGGCTGCGTGCGACAGCGAGTTTGGATAACAAAAATTTGTAAGCAATTTGTTGCGCAACGCTGGCCAATCCACAGCATCGCTKGGCAAATAATTATTTTCTACGCTATTGTTGTTGTGCATTTGCATGCTATTAGCCAGCTTGTATAACTAAGTTTTYTGCCAATTTTCAATAATAAATTATGTATGCAATCAGCAAGCAAAATTGCCATGAAAAGTGCGGGCAATTTTGACAAAGCAAGTGACTTTTTTCTTCAATAAAATTTTTTTTCGGTTTAAACAAAGTAAAATTGCAATAATTTCAATAAAAAATATATACAAGTGTAATTTTATAGCGTTATCGTTAAATAAATACTTAAATCATGCAGTAATTAATAACAATAACAGTAAAAAGCCAATAGGTATGAGCAAGTATGCGCCTATGGATAGGCTACAAATTCATGCATTTATTTATTTCGCACTCAAATGACAATAAATCAAAAATATTTSCTATAATCAATGAACTCAAATCAAATGGCATTTAATTTATGCCACAATGCGTAACTGTATATCTGTATTTATRTAAGTGAAATGGGAGAGGGCGAGAGAAAGACAGAGAGTGGGAGTTTGTTGGGCCTTGTGCGCAAAAAGTATTGTGTAAGTGAGAAAGTCAAAGCCTTTATTGTTTATTTAATGAATTCAGAAAGCAATAAATTTTCRCCACAGACTCACTCATCGACTATACACTTTTGTATTTTCATCTTCCACTTCCCCTTCCCCTCACCACCACCAACACAAACACATTGATTGCTTGGTTGAAATCAATTTGGTTTATTTATTCACTTTCAACGTGCCTTAATTAAGTCACTCGTCGTTGTGCCATTGACCGGCATTGTAAATACAGTCAGCCGTGCAATAACACCAATAATGCGTACACTCATTTACACACCATTTCTACACTCACCTTTTGCTCTGTCACCTATTATGAACTCCACGGAAATTAATCTTATTTTGCTCACAGCCTTAATTACTCTTTTGATAAGGAAAATGAAGACTTTGAGCACTTATACAAAGCGTTTACTAAGTAGTTGGCAACATCTAACCTCACTTTCTATTTGGTTTAAATAATCTGAGATTCAAATAAATCACTATGGACTCTAACTAATACTGTGAGAGATTGCATTCGTTTCTTTAACAAGTCTAGCGGGTTAAAATTACATCAACGCTGCTTAAAGACTTTGCTTCCATACTGAGTATCTTACGATCACTGCGTCACTGCGTCACGGCAATCCTCATCGTACCGGCTGATCTTTTGTTTTTGCGAAAAGCAATGGTTTCGCTTGCAGCTGTACGTAAGRAGCTTGAAAAGCCATCCCACAGTTCTCTTATACCGTGTTGTTGATCCGTTCCCACAACAGTCGGGTCTACTAAACCAGAACGGTCCCGGACTTTTATTAAACCAAGGACTGTCAACTTAGCAAAATCCTGCCTCTGAACCTGCTCTCAAAGAGTAGGAGTGCAAGTTGAGTAGAAAGTCGTTCGGCTGTCTGTTGTGATTGCAGCTTCTCGAAGTCGAGAAGCATGTGGGATTTTGCCTTGTGTTTGTTGATGGTAAATTTTTTTCCTGCACAGAAGCGTGTGGGAATCTTYGCTGCAACTGAATAGTGGTCCGAGTCAATGTTAGGTCTTCGGAAAGTACATACGTCCAAAGCACTGGAGACTTGTCTTTCGTCAATCACAACAAGATTGATYTGGTTGGTAGCTTTTCGTCCCAGAGACAACAAGGAGTCTTCATTAATTTTTCTGTAGTGGAATCTAGTAATACAGATAACCGTAATTCGGGGTCCCTTCAAAGTCGATCAGCCTCCGTTGTGCCAAAGATACCTTCTTTCCACATCCTTGCATTAAAGTCGCCAAGCATGATTTCGGCAACGGGATATCTCCAAATTTGCGCTCCTTTATATGGTCCCTGTAGTAAATTCCACAAGGACATATTCGTCTCAGTCCTTGTAGCGTCCATCGCATTTCAAGGACGGCGGTGATGTTAGCCTTTACTCTTAGATGGACATTAACCAGCTGGATGGCGGCACTTCCTAATTAAAGGACCGCACATTCCAGGTGCATACCATTAAATCGTAATCCTTAACACATTTGCAAAGATCGTCATCAAAAGGGGGGCTCTCATGCGAGGATGTTTGTTCCTTTTCATTGGGGGCGTTGTTTACATGGGGGGTCCCAATCCCACCGCACAACACTATGGAGTTGATGATTCTCACTTCAGTTCGCCACCAATCGAATGTTCTCCTCAGAGAATACTTGGTCTAAGACCGGAAGTTGTGAGCTGGTAAAAGAATCATTTCTGGTCACTCCCAAGTGAATGGCAATCAGAGAACGTTCCTCACTGGCGTGAACTTCTACACATGACTCCATTGAGAGTTCTATAAAAAATAGCACTGCCTCAAGTGAAAGATGTTCATYTCCTACCTGTGGAAAAGGTGAAGTACTGCGGGGTCAACTTAAATATGAAGCTTCGTTGGGAGGTTAGCATTGAGAAGAGAGATAATTGTTTGGCTCTAGAAAGGGGAACAAATGCTAAGGCATTCGAAATCATTCAACCACCATCACCGCTGGTTATAAAAGACCACAATAACATTGACACTTAATGTCATTTTGTAATTAGCACACGTCGACATAGCTGGATGGCCTGCTTTGATTTTATAACGGACCATTTGAATTAGAGTGTCGCTGTATCAAGTTCCGACGGTCTAGTCTTTGCCATCATACCTGCGAAGGAGATGTAAGARGAAACTCTCTCCCAACAGCAGCTGAAAGTAGCTTGCAGTAGTAACTATAGTTGGGTGAGAACTTCCACTTACCAAGCTAGTACAGCGAGCTGCTTGGCGGATATATAAAAGTTAGGGAGAAGGTTTGCCACCTGCTTTAGAAAAGTTGCTATTCACTCCTTCAGTACTGGGTCAATACCAGCCTCAAAATCAAAAACCGTGCGCTCGAGGCTGGTTAAATAATGTCGAACTATTGAAGGCATCAATATACCTCTGGATAAAACTAGTTTAGATATAGGCAATAGCGGAAACGCTGGCAACTTCAAAGCTGCTGAGTTGACAAAGAAGACCGCCTAAGCCTCGTTGAGAGTAGAATGGGAACGGGATTGAGCTCCACTACCCTCTTGCGGCTTACTATTAGACAGCGCTGCCTGGCCGGAGCTTAGATAGCGATGGGCAGCTAGACTAGACAAGGCCACAAGATCTTTCTGGCACAAAGTAAATCACAAAAGAACCAGCAGGCTTTTCATCTTCAGCAAGAAGGCTTTCTCTAATTGTGGACGATAGATACCACAATACCGAGGGCGATTGGCGTACCATATTTCCAGATACTTCTTAACTGATTTCGAACCAAATACATTTTTGTCGATCCTTAAACGTATTCTAAACATCCACTATTTAAGAAATGAAGGAGTACGCTGAGCAGCACGTCCCCAAAAAAGTTATCTTGTTAGCATTAGTATATTATATCTCAGCTTTAAATTGATTATTAGAAGGTATTTTCTCAATATGCTAAAACCGTTGAGAGTTCAACACTTACTCTTTGTACCATTTAACTTAAATTAAGCCCTAAGTGTATTCGAAAWTATAACCCACTTTCAGTTACAATTATGCAAGCACAGCTTTCTACATTTCGATGCCAATAAATTATCACTCCTTTTTCACACTGCTTATCATTTTCACTTTGTTATCGTTGCAGTGCTTCCCCACTGAGGACACGCCCGAACACAAATCACCCTGTTGTCACATCAATTCTGATTTTGAAATCACAACGCTGCCACTGCCGCCGGAACCGCCTACCGGACGACCACCAAAGGGTGGCGATGCTGCTGGCGATAACAATGGCAGCGAAGGCGGCAATAGCTCCAGCGGTGGCGGCGGCAGCAGCAGTAGAGGCGGCGGCGGCAGTGGTATACGCGGTGGCTCTGTGCTGGGCATTTGCGCACGAGCACGCACCAACAGTCTCAGTCGCAGCGGATCACAGCAGGCGCGCAAGAATGCCAACAGCGGCGCCGGTGGCTGTAGTAACAGCAGTCACGGACATCATGGGCACAGTCATCATGGCGGCGGTGGCGGCGGTGGTATGACTTTCACTAGCGTACGGCCCGACATTGAAGGGCTCTCCGAAAAGTATTGGGGTGAAATACTGGAGCGCACGGTGAGCTCGGGTAGCCTGCATGCGCTGACGAAAAGTTTTCCGCACGCAGCGCCGCATCACTACTATGCTGCACACCATCAGCCGACACATCAGCAAACGTTTCCGCCGCCACCGCACACCGCAACAATGACAACATCGTTTAGCAAACACAGCGAACTGAATCTCAACTTGGCGTTGGCCGAACAGGAACGCCATGCAGCCGCACTGCACGATGCGAGCGGTGGTGGTGGTGGCGGCGGCACCGGCACACTCAACGCCTATGAGCTCAGCAAATTTTCCAGTTCAGAGCCAAAACTGTGCGAACATATCTATCATGATGCCAACTGTGCCAAAAATAAATCAGCGCTGGGCGGCGGCGGCGGCGGCGTCACCAGCGTCAGCGGTGCGGACGATGTCAAAATGTCAGCTGGCAGTGCTGCAGTGGCGTCGGCAACCGGACGCAGCATACCGGATATTTAGTACGCGGAGAATGTTATATTAGCAAACAATCAAATGGCGCGCTTTTGTGCGCGGGGCGTCGTCTGTGCTGGCGCGTCCATGACAGGTGCTGGTGGTGGTGGCATTGGTGGTCGCAGCAACACTTTAACCACCAATCGTGTAGCTTGTCATAGTCCGCCGGCGCGCAGCATGTCCGTATTAGTCGCGATGCCGATGGCCGAGTACCGGAAGTAGGCGCATGACAAAGCGTAACAAAAGGCGACAAGGCAACGGCAGCAGCAGCAGCAGCAGCGCCGGAAATGCAGTAAGCCAAAACTGCAGCACGAAATGAAATGAGTATTTTGCGCCAGCACTCTACGATGGCTAGCAAAGTGGCCTAAGCGCGCGGCTCTACCATTGCGACTGGCCGTGGTTGAAGCGATCTCTGTATGTATGTATGTATGTAGTGTATAGTTAGTAGTCTGGCGTTAGCTGTGCGCCATCAATGCTGCTAGTGAAATTTTCACAAAATTCTACGCCACAATCGTCGTAAGCATGTTATGTAAATTTTCGTCGTGACGCTCGTGTATGTGTACATAACTGTATGTGCGCTATGATGTGTATATAATATATAAGCGCTATAAGTCGTGTGATAATACCTACTTTACGTAACTTTACGGCATACTACTGCTCATAGCGCGCTGCCAGAGCTGCCAACGTTATGTTGATTTAATGCTCTGACTTAATTGTAATGCATTAGCTCGTTAATTGTAASGCGGCTGACAGGTAGCTGTAGATAGTAGGCGTGAAAGCTGAAAAAATGCTGGTATTCAGTATTAATTATTCGCGTTTTCATTTTAAAAACCTAACTTAATCTAAAATCCATGCATATTCCTTAGACATTTACTTCAACTACAGCAAAAATTTGTTCAAGTTTATAATTCCGAAGTCAAGCCCGCATATGTAACACGAAATCGGGACTTCATAGACCACACTTTGTAGCATACAAAAGCGCTGAGTGGAGTTACATTTTCATGCCAGCAATCGCATTGCGAAAATATATTTTTGCAGCACCTAAAGGTACACTACAGTTARTTTGATAAACAATCGTTGTAAGAAACGCCTAAGGGTATGCTACAATCAGCTGGTTAACTGAAACCGTTAAAGGAAACTTCATTCGACTTCGTTCAACGTGTTATTAATATTTTCAACTATTTTTCACAACTATTTTTTATTCTAAGCGCCGAAAATTTTTATAAGCATATGTTTAAAAAAAACTTCGAAAATAAGCATATATGTAATAATACTTGTACCACAAAAGTAGGTGACATAGGCTATAATTTTTATTTTTAGCGTCCTTGAATTTTATGTATATGTAGTAATGGAAATAAATTTTTGTAGATAATAAAAAATTAATCTTGTAGGGTATATAGTGCTTGCTGTTGTGCTTAAGTATAAATTCAGTGTTCCATAATAATTAGTTTTTAAATCAGAATTTTTATAAATTCTAATCAAAAATATTTACTGCAYATTTCCAAATCCATATTTTGATCATATTTCGAATAAAAAAAACCTTGCCAATGAATCGGTTTCGGCTTGATGCCAAATTCAAACGAAAATTTACCACCTTGAAMTCTATATTCACCACCTTTGATACCATATTCACCACTTTCAACTCTTTATTCAGTAGCTTCAACTCTATATTCACGACCTACGACTCCATATTCACCACATCGACTCCTTTTTCATCACCTTTTATTACATATTCACCACCAACAACTCTATATTTACCACTATATTCACCAACTTTAATCTAGTATTCACCACATTCAAAGCAATATGCGCCACCGTCAACMTTATATTCAATACTTTTAATTCTAAATTCACCACCTTTATTATTTAATACATTCACCACCTTCGATTCTTTCTTCGCCATTTTCAGCTTCCTTCGACTACATATTCATAACTTTCAATTCTACGTTTACCTTTTTCAACTGAGTATTCACGATTTTCAACCACATACTCACCTTTTCGACTCGATATACAACACTTTCAACCTCATATTCATCAACTTCAACTYTATATTCACCACCTTCACGTCCATATTTACCTTCATATTCACCTCTTCCGATTTCATCTTCACCACCTTTAACTCTGTATTCAACACCTTCGACTCCATTCACTACCTTCAGCTCTATATGTACCACCTTCTATTCCATATTCACCAGATTCAATTATTTTTGCAACATTTGCGACTCTATATTCACCAAAATTAAACTCATATTCTCCACCTTAACCTCCATTTTCTCCAACTTTAACTTCACCTTAAACTTATTCACCACCTTCAACCCAATACACATCACCTTCATTATACTCTGTAGATAAAAACTCACGTGTAGTCTCACAGCAGCAAGCTTTTACTGACCCAATATGACTAAAATCTTTGTGAAAATGTGAATGTTAACAATTTTTAAAAATTCAGGAAAAATAAAAATAATAAAAAGTGTTTTATAGTTAGTAATAATTTGTGCATAATAATATTAAGAATTAGACGCAAATAACTAAATACATTATAAACGTAAATTATTTCTAATAAGTACTTATTAGGCTGAACTGTGAATATTTCAATTGGCAGAGGTTGTACTGGCATGGCAAGCACGTTGAGCGATTWAAATTTAGTAATACACGTCATATGGTGTTAGAAAATGWTATTACCGCAATTTAGTAAAAAARCARGTAATAAATTTTTACGGATGAGCAATCAAGGCTATGGCAYTGGCWTGGATTACTTTMYTYTTCAAAAGTTAWCCTTTGAATTTAWCTGTCACAATCGGACTACAGACTTWTWSTATGTTCCTTTGATTAAATTGTTCAATGAGTTTCCGGCAACTTTAGACACTTTTACGATTACWTTCTATTAAATATTTTTAATMATTTTTCAKACTATGTAGCTTTATTTGATCGAAGGATGAATATTAAGAGAATAAAGTAAGTCTACACTTGATAGCGAATAAAGAATATAGTATACCTATCAGGCTGTCTCTGCTGAACAAAGAAACTACAAGTTACTCAATGAAAYTTTCTTCCACAGACACAGATCGAAACAGTTTCCCTAACTAAATGTTGGTACTTTATAAACATTGTTTTACCAAGTTGGAGACTGTTTTCGTAACAGTTAGCTATCTATCTTATCTAGAAAAATACTAAACCAAGAAAGGGAAATCAACTAGATCATGACTTGAGTCATGAATTACTGATATTGCAGAAACTTGGATTTCCTCTTCAGTTTTCAGARAAAAATTTTGAAATGGCTGCCTCTTTAAGGTTCGGAGATGAAACTGATTGCTTTGGTTAACTAATCGTGGGTTAAGTAACAATCAGTCAGTTATCAGTTAAGCAACCGTAAGTTAAGTAAACATCAGTTAAGTTAAGTAAACTTCAGTTAAGTAAGCGACATTTAAATATGCGTCAGTTAAGTAACCATCAGTTAAGTAACCATCAGTTAAGTAACCTTAAGTTAAATAAGCGTCAGTTAAGTAACCATTCAGTTTAGTAACTGCCAGTTAAGTAACTATTCAGTTTTGTAACCGCCAGTTAAGTAACAATTCAGTTTTGTAACTGCCAGTTAAGTAAGCGACAATTAAATAAGCGTCAGTTAAGTAACCATCAGTTAAGTAACCTTAAGTTAAGTAATCATCAGTTAAGTAACCATCAGTTTAGTAACTGTCAGTTAAATAAGGGTCAGTTAAGTACCCATTCAGTTTAGTAACTGCCAGTTAAGTAACCCCCAGTTAAGTAATCATCTGTTAAGTTAACGTCAGTTCAGATATCGTCAGCTAAGTAAGCAACAGTTAAGGAACTCTCAATTGAGCAACTTAAAAATTTAATATGTTTATTAATGACAAATATGTGCTCAYATTTTTTAAAAAGCTCTCATTTTAAGTCTAGTAAGTACTCGATAGTTTGTAGAGCTCTACTATTATTCCTGCCCCTCCGTGCTTCATGMGAACCCATATAATGTTTATATTTAATTGAAAAGTAACTGCAGCAATATCATAAGTACTAATAAAATCTGAGAAACCATACCGAAGTAAGCTTTCTTTATAAATTTCATTTTAATATACTTAGAGAGCGCATGAGAAACCTCAATATTTCTTTAGCCTAAATCAGCAATTAAATTAATTTCATTTGAAGCACAAATAGTGCCGCTGAATAAGCATGACGACTAAWAGGGAAGAGACAACCGAAGAATCACAAGAGTTTAAATACGCCATTGAGCTTTCGAAGAAACAAGACATTATGGCGGAAAAGTACCGACATTTGCATAACAACGCCTTTAAATTAACATGCAATTAGGCAGAGTGGCKAGCCTGCGATAAAAAAGTGAAGAAAAATGGAAAAACTGGGGTGGAAACAAGAAAATAAAAAATAAATGAACTTGTTGAAACAAATGACAAAATCATTGAGAGTAAATTTAGATTRTAAACTCGTGGCAAATTCAAAGCACAGAAAGCTTCGTGTTTGAGGTGTTTGAAGTCAAAACGAAAAATCGTAATAATGAAWAGCGGAAGTGCCGCAAAACACAGGCACAAAAATGAGATTGAAAATAGTGCACCAACAACAAAGTAAAGTGCTATAAAAACTGCTATATTGTCCGCTATTCATTAGCGAAATAACTAGGCAACTTGAGCGTCTGGGGTCACAGCGCGAGAATGGACGCAAAGGTTGCGCGTCGTAGCACAAAGGCGAAGCGACTATCGTTGAATGTGTGAAAGCAGGCATGAAATCGAAAGCTACTTGGATAAGATAAGAGAAAAACGTTTAGCGAACATGCTTGTGAAAGAGCGTAAAATGAATGTGATTTAATTTATAGRAAAATTACGGTAAAACAGTAAAAATTAAAGTTGATACTTTGAGAAATAGACTAGTGCAGAAGCTAAGCTTTTGAAAATGTAGTAGGTTAAAGCCCGTTATAAACGACAGATGAAATAAGAAATATTAAAGTAAAGAATTATAAGGGCGATCTGTGGTCGGGAAAAGGAAGCTGGTGGGCGTRTTTAAATTTTTAAGTGTTAAAAACGGTTTATAACGATTTCCGACAAAACCACAAGCCATCTAGGAAACGGTTCAGTAACCATTTAATTAAGTAACCGTCAGTTAGGTAACCACCAGTTAAGTAACCTTCAGTTAAGTAACCACCAATTAAATAATCGTCAGTTAAGTAACCGTCGGTTAGGTAACCCTCAGTAAATTAA